AGTGTCACTGGCCCTCATATGTGGGATCTGAACCGGGGCCCTCTGGCATCCCAAGCCAGTTCTTAACCATCGCGCCACTCGGCCAGCCCAATAATAATGTCTTTTTTTTTCCCAACTTTTTCTTACCCGTTCACTGATTTTCCCTCTTGGAATATCTGATATTTACTTAACTTCACAGTTTATTTTAAAGTGGTTCACCTTATGGGAAAAGTTGAAGGATTTTAGGTGACTTTTTTTTTTTTTTTGCTTAGTTATATTTTCTCATTTTTCTATAATGGTTATAAATGACTTTTTTAAAAGGTGGGTATAATTGTTTTTAACGAATGACTTACCTCAATAATTTTGACAATATCTCGTGGACCGATAATTTCAGGATCAAATTTCACCTGGGCTTTGCTGGTTGCAAGGGATACGGAGGCATGGGTGACGCCATTCGTCCTTACAAGTTTAGACTCTATGTTGTACACACAGGAAGCACAGGTCATCCCGGTGATCTGTAACACAAGATGATCAAAATCCCACTGACCCAGGATTGAGAGGATCCTGTCAGCGAAACACAGGCAGCCACAAGCCTCTGAGCCTCTCCTCCTTCCATAGCATCTCCCCAAGACTCTGGGCACTCACCTCCAAACCCGGAACCTTCCCCCAGAGGCTTCAAGGATATAAACAGTGGTTCTTTCCCAATTCAGGTACAGGAGATGTAGCCAATCTATTAAGCAGATGGCAACCAATGGAGGCTTGACTTCTGGCTCTGATGATAGGCTTTATAAACTATCTACACTCTTCTCAGTCATCTCACCAGCAATGCTAGGATAATAATGCATGCACCTTCTCTGTCTCAAAAGGGTAAGGATAAGGATGTGTGTGCAACTCTGCAAAACCCTCTGAGCTCCTGAAATACTCTCTATAATCTCAAGTGTTGCTGGCGTCTCGTCTGCAGCTGCTGCTAAAACCCTCCCGTCTGCAGGGCTCTGCTGGTTCCAAGGGTAATAATGTCAATCGCTTATTATCAATAGGAGGAAAGGATTTAGGAAGTGACTGATCAAGGTGATGGGATTTGACTTGGTCCCAGAGTACAGATAGGGTGTTTCCGGGTGAAAGTATGGGTAACCACAGAGGGAGAAGAAGCATTGGAAAAGACAAAAGCCAGGACAGCACGGGGTGTTTAGACAACCATCAACAGTGAGCCTTGGTCAGGCACAGGATGTGCAAGGAAAGGAAGAGGGGACAGCCTGCAGTGTTGGCTGAGTCCACATGAAGACGCCTGAACACCCAGCTACAGAAGTTGCTAAGCCAGCGCTTCATAGGAAGTCATGAAGCAGTAATGAGCATCAGAATGAAGAGACAGAAGCTGCACTTTGCAATGCATCTGTAATCCCAGAATCAAAAATATCAGAAGAGATGGGAGAGTCTCATATGGAATTAGGGAAGGAGAGGCGAGCCCATCTGTAATCAGAACACATTCCCCTTGATATGGGACCCACAGAAAAGGTGAGAAAGGGAGGCCCATTGCACAAATGAGGAGCTCACTGGCTGGCAGGTGGCTGTGCAAATAGAATTTTATAAAGTCTACAAGTATTTCAACAGTGCTTCTGAACTCTCGTTTTAACTCTATGATAAAAATAGGTAACACTTATTGCCAGGCACTGCCCTGGGTACTGTCCTGCTTACACCAACCCTACAATGTAGGTGTCGGTTGTCCCAGCACTGACAGGTTTAGGAACTAGTCCAAAGTCACACAGTAATGAGTGGCAGAGCTGGAGCTGGGCTCTGAGTCTGTGCTCCAAACCACTGCTGTGTGTACCCTGACGTTAAGAAACGCCCCTGCCATGACAGAGCCACAATTCAAGCCCAGTGAAAGCTGCCACTCTGCCATGCCATGCTGTGTGTCTTGTTGAGAAACAGGAGTGACACATGCCATCCCTATAATATGTAGGCAAACCAAACAATTCATGCTTCCAACTATCAGTGGTCAGCATTTTCCAGAATACAATTAAATACAGACATAAAATGTCTGAACATGTGATGACAATGTAACTATTGATACTGCTTAGTTTAAAAAAAAAAAAAGCTTCAATAAAAAATTGTTCAAAAAAAAATTTCACCTTTCCCAACTTGTTTCAGACTTTTCCACACAATGGTAGTCTGACTGAGCATGCAGAGACGTCCACATCAGGACCTGGGGGTCTGCAGTAGGCACCCTGCTCCAATTGCAGGGGCCAATTTGAGCTGTAACCTAGTGACTATTACCCTTTGCCCCTCAACGCACATGGAGGCCAGTCCAGAGGGAAGGCTTTGGTCTACAAAGAACACCACTTATCAGGAGCTCAAAGTGCCACTCGCGTCCTCAGTACCTTTTCTTCAAACATTTACTTACCACTAATGGCAGTGACCAAACACAGTAAGGAAGTGAAAGACCCTTTTACCTCGGTAAAACATTCTTTGCGGGTTTCTTCTAAGTCTCCCTTTATTTACACAAAATGAGCTTTGTACATTAGGTGCTTGGAAACATATCATATTCAAAATACTGACGTACCTGTTGTTTTTAATGATGTGTTGGCGTGTGCAGCTGGTAACAGTAGACAGACAGGAAACACGCCCCACCCCCCACCCCCG